GCACAGCTGTGATACAGTGACACCGGAGCCTCATCAGTCCCTGTCTACAACCAAGCCAAAACTACACAGACTGGGCGGGGGGAGTTCCTTCCCCTTTCCTCCCTCAGGTTCCTGCCTCACGGGGGGGGGGGGCTTGAGAAATGCTACACACACACACACACACACAGACACACAGACACACAGACACACAGACACACACACACACACACACACACTGTCCCAAGCTTCAGGACCTTCAGGAACAGCTCTGCCCCCTGACTGGCCTTGAGATGGGCCGAGGAAGAGGGGAAGAGCTGTCAGACCTTTTCCAACTGAGGAAAAAGGGTGGCCTGGCTCGCCCTGGCAAGCTACAGATATGTTCCATTTCTATTTTTTGACAGAGAAAAATGGAAATGCTTATCCCTCTCCACCTTACCTCAAGGCTTGGTCCAGAGTTTGCTGGCTGAACTCAAAGAAAGAGAAGTACGCTTCTGCCACCTTCTGGCTGAACTCGTTGCTGCAGACAAATATACAGAACACACTCAGTAGTTCAAAAACAGGGGACTGGGGGGCTGTCAGGCACATTTGGGTGGATGGGTGAGCTCTCAAGGCCCATGCCCCCCCGAGCCTGTAGAAGAATGCCCAGACCATCTTGTCAAAGTTTATCACCTGACAGGTGTGTTTGTGTGTGTGTGAGTTAGGGAGAAAGACCAACGCCAGGGCTCTAGAGGATGGTGTTATGGCGACTGTAGTCCCTTAAACCCGTCTGCACTCTATATTGTCTGTCCTGCCACCTCCCACTTGACCACAAAAGCTTCATGGCAACAAGAGCTGCATGGAATGATATGTGTGTGTGTGTATGTGTGTGTGTGTGTGTGTGTTTATGTGTGCATGCATTGAGGGTGTGTGTGCCTTCCTTCCCTTTCCTGCTTGTTTACAAAGCCTCACAGTGTGCAGACAGAAGGATGAACAGACTAGGAACTTTCTACTGGGGGGGAGGGAGGTTCTTTAGGGTGGGGGTCAGCACATGCCCACCCAGAGACACTGGACTGCAAGCCCCGGAATCCCACCATTGAAGTTTCTGACTGGGGCCGAGGGGAGCAGCAGTCCCGGGAGGGGCGCAGAGGAAGCCCTAAACAAAACGGAGGAGGGAGGAGAAATAAAGCAGGAGGAGTGAAGCAGGGAGGGAGAAGAGGAGCCAGCCTAAATGGCAGGATGTGGCCTCGCTGGGGAGAAGCAGAGAGAATGTCCAGAGTTGTTGTAGCAAGAAGACTTCCCGAACGCCACCATGAAGGCCCCCCTTACTTTTTCTGAAGAAAGGCAGCCACCTGCGACCTCTTGAACCCATCCAGGTGGTAGAGACGGGTGGCCAGCCTCAGTGCAGCAGCTTGATCCCCGGCGGTGCCGTTGGCAAAGAGGGGAGTTCCCTCTGGATCTCCTGGGTTCTTCGCCTGCAGAGCTTCCCCTGGCCTGACAGGATCCCTGGAGAGATGGTCTTCATCGGGAATGCTGGGGCTTGGGGGTGGGGTGAGGAAGGGAAAGCGAGAAAGAAAACGGGCACAAAATGGCCACCGTGAACAGAGGCCAGAGCCTTGGCCTCCTCAGGCAGGAGAAAGGAGGGGGCCCCTGCCGGGAGCCTTCAGCCGCCCTCCCATGACTGGCCACCCGCATTCCCACCCAGGGGGACTCCTGCCTTGACAGCTTGTTTACACAACCCATCGAGCGAGGCAGGTCAGAAACCCCCAGACCAGCAAGACAGCCCTTTCTCACCGTCTGCATGAAAGGTCCTGGGTTTCCTCCCCTGGAGCATCTCCAGAGTGGGTTGGGGGACACCCCCCCCGGCATGCATCCTCTCCACCTTACCCCACCCTAAGAGCCCTACCTGCTCCCACCGCCCCATGTCAACCCTGAGCCACCCAGGCCAGCAGTAGAGGGGGGGGAAGCAGCTCAGGAGCCCCCTCTTCCAGGCCAGCCAAAGGAGCCACGGGCTGCTCCTCTGCCTGGTAAGACCCCTAGACCTTCACCCGGCCAGGGCCAGGTGCGCCTTCCACAGCCTGCTGGAGCTGCTCTGCTTGGTTAGGGGTCGAGAGATGCAAAAGTCATGCCCACTCTCCCCACACGTCTCTCTCTCTCTCTCTCTCTCTCTGTGTGTGTGTAGGGGGAGGATGGGAAACGAAAAATGAAACCATCTATAACGGATCAGAATTTCTTTAAAAGCTTGGATCTTGACCCCAGAAATGTCCATCCAGATTTCTTGTTTTCTCTTGAAGACTTTCCTGCCCATCGCTTCAAACTTCCTTTCCGTTCCTAGCCTTCCACAGAGTGCCTCCCCTCGCATTCAGAGAAGGGTTCTCCACAATTCCCAGCATGGCTTTTCAGCTGCTCGGTTGTGGTCCCTGTCAAGGACTCAGAGCTGTGGGAAGAGGGCTTCTGGTCGCCAGGAGGTCCAAGGCCACGGCCAAGATGAGGAAGGCAGCAGCGAGCGCCAGCAAATGGAAGCTCCCCAAAGCCACTGCCACCTCCTCAGCGGAAGCCTCTCCCCCTCCCCGCCAGCCATGAGGCTGCCTCTGCTGTCACTCCCTCAGGCGCAGCTGCCCCCAACCACAGCAGAAGGATGTTGTGGGCAGGTTAAAGCAGTGGGGGTGGGGGCGGGCGGGCGATCGCCCCTTGATTGAGTCACTTACCACGGAGGGCTGGGTGCTTCCTCCTCTTTCTCTTCCTCCTCCTCCTCCTTATCATCCAAGGGTTCTTCCATTGCATCAGGCATCGCAGGGAACGCCACCCTTGCAACCCCCTCGGCTGAGCTCCCCAACTTCCTTCCTGCCCCGTCAAGGGTGATGGTGGAGGAGAGCAGCTCGTGCGCAGCCGCTTCCTTCTGCAAAGAGGAAGTTCCCCCGGGCGGCCCTGCCCTTGCGCAAGGAGGCACATGGCGGTGGCTGTGTGACGGAGCCCAGGGGCCCAAAGCCTGATGTTCCAGACTCTGTTCCGCATCTGTAGGGGCTGGGAGGGCTAGGCAGCTGGCAGGGGCCCCGCTGGCCTTTGCTGGAGGCAAGGGAGGCTTGGAAGGGGGTTGGCTCTCGGGAGGGTCCTGCAGCAGCAGAGCGGACGTCACAGAAGTCCTGGAGGGCAGGAAGAGCAGGCCTAGCCCTGGCGGGTGGAGGCTGCGGGTGGCACCTGTGCAGGGGGAAAGCTCAGTCACATGGAGCCCGGCTGGCCCTCGCGCTCTTCAGATCTGCCTGCCCACAGGGTCAGAATGCTTCCATGTGTTTGGGAGCTCCGTCAGGGAGAGTAAGGCTCCCGTCCCCACATGACCTGTTCTTGGGATGGCAACCAGCTCGTTCACCGTTGGGGAGCCCTCCCACCAAAACAGCACTGCTGTTGTCGCAGGGATCAGCAAAGGACCGTCTTGACCACAGGAAGGGTCCCTCCCCAGCTTGTTCTCGCGGGGCCTCCACAAAGCGCTGAGGCTTGGCCTTCTGAGGGTTCCTGCAAAGCCAGCTTGCTCTATTCCTTTGGCTGCCATTGAACTGGTGACTCTGGGGCCCTCTGTCACAAAGGGAGGCCATGTGGTGCAGCGGGAGTGACTGGGAAGTGCCTGCCCATTCAAACCAGCCCTCTTGGAGGCATCATCCGGGCTGTGCCGCCATGTGCATGTCAGCCACGAGTTTGGCCTCAATTGCTCTGGAGGACTGTCCTTCCACTGGCAGGGAACCCGCTTTCTTTCAGAAGTGGGGGGAGGCCACTGCTCCGTGTTCCTGCAAAGAGGGCCGGACCCACAGCAGAACTCACCTGGCACCAAGCTTTCTGGAACACTGATGATGGGACTTTGGGCTTGTTGATCTGGAAAGCCACCCTGAGCCTGGAAGACAAACCACGGGGGTCACAGAAAGCTCAGGAGCCCCGGGAAGCGGCTCTCAGCTGGTGGGGTGTGTTGGGAGCTGGCCAGTCTCTGGGGTGTGTTTTGTAAGTCAGAAAGCCAGCATATGTCTGGGGGGAGGGGCGCCAGTGTCTGCCCAGGTGGGACCAGACACCACAGCAGAGCCAGAAGGGATGGGGCTACTGCCAGGCCCTGGGTGGAGCCCAGAGTGACCTTGCAGACTCTGTTGGCACAAGAGGCAGAGGCACGTCGGAACGGAGCAACAGCCACGGAGAGTCCTGCCATTTAGCTGCCCGTGACTCAAACAGCTGGTCCTCAGGCAGCCATGCAAGAGACTGGACCTCCCCCTCCCGCCCAATCTCTAGCCAGTGATCATGGATGCCTGCTGGCTGATACCACCAGCTTCAATCTGAGTTCTTGCCAGCCCACCTTCACCTGCAGCCCAGTCCCTCTGATGGGTCCCTGTCAAGTAGCAGCACATGAAACACGCCCAGCGAGGCAGGGCTCTTACCTCTCTGCCCAGCACCAGCGGACCTGGCTCCTCGGGATCCCCCTCCATGATCACCAAGGGAGACAAGGAACGGCCGTGGGACACATAGCTCGAGAGAGGGCACGGGGCCTCATCAACATAGCGCTCAGCTGCTGAGCTACGCTCTGGGCTTGGAGGGCTCCCTGACCCACGGGTTTGGCAAAGCGGGCCCGCCTCGTCAGAGCCCAGATCACTGCTCGAGAGTCTCTCCTCACCATGCACAGTGGCTGGTCCCTCCGGATGGCCAAACAGATCAAGTCCTTCAAATCCAATGGCTCTTGTGGAGGATGGACTCTCCTGGAAGAGTGGGTTGCTGTAAAACAAACCTTCCACCTCCTCTTCTTCCAAGGAGGACATCTCTTCTTCTTCTTCCTCCTGCCTCCCTGAGCTCGCCTCCTCTTCCTCCTCACTGTCCATGCCCAGCTGAAAAGGCTCACTGGGAGCGGCCCAGTCCTGCAACACAGCCGTCGCTGGCGCTTCCTCCAGAGTCCGGGAGAGGACCTCCTTGGGTGGCTCCTTCTTCCTGTCAATCTCCCCTTGGAGGTCCAGGACACACTGCTGGGCTTGGCGGATGCTGGCCCAGAACAGGGCCTGGGTGGCATCGTTGCGGTTCTCCTCAAGATGATTTTGGTTCTCTGGTGATGGCACAAGAACATCTCCCAGCCAAAACTTCTCAGAGGAAGAGGCAGCCAGGCGGTCTGACTTGGTGGG